AGTGTATATATAAAAAGCAGATGTGGTATGATTGTCAATGAGACCACTACCACACAGAGTCTAAATGAAGCGCATTTATGAAAATATACTAGTAGGTCGCCGTACAGCCATCAACAATTGGCAAAGCTCATATAATATTGTCAACCCCTCGACATGACAAAAGGTGGATCAATTCAAACGAAAAAACCAACGGCCTGATTCATGACATACAAATAAACGAAAAAACAAATATGAGACAGTAACTAACGATAACCGCTGAAATACAGGTTCATTACTTCAGACAGGCTCCTTTAAAATGAGGCGGGGTTAAACACGTGTGTGAGCGCTCACCTCCCTTTTTCTGGGACAGTGGTGTAATAGCATAACAAGGAAAAAAACTGTAAAAATCAGTTGAAAATGACTTGACTGATCAGATCGACCCGAAGCCCAAAAACAAATACATAAAGGCAAAAGATATTAAGTATCGATCTAAGAGTACTCTGATTTACCGAAAGCTAGTTCAGATTTAATGTAAAGACGTCATAAACAGTCTCATCTGAGAAAAGCATGACCTGGTGCAATGCCAAAATATAAGTATTTAATATCGACAGTTTTCATAAATGTGTAACAATAAATATTCTGAAATCATGTTTTAATTTTCAAAAACAAGATCTGTGTAAGTATCGATAATACGGTATTAAATTGAAGTCCTTCGAGAATAATTTGAATCAAACGAGCAATAAGATTACATGGATCTTATCTAAATGTCCATGCTTTATAAACAACATTACTGTTAAAGATATGATATTCCGTGTTAAGAATATGATATTCCGTTTTTAATAAGAATTTTACAGGAACAGCTAAACTTCAAAACCAAATATTTGTGCCTATGAAAGAATTTAGTAAGTTTCAAGTAATTTGTGATAACGAAATCCCAGACTTTATGATTTTCTAGTTATACATAGATTTCGTTCATTGAAACGTGAAACGTCAGTACAGACACACGAATAGCGAACGAGTTAGGCGATATACACACCGAAAGAAGGGGCATCGCCGTACAAGAAATGAAAATCAACAATAGGGAACGAAAAATTGTCTCTTTTGTCGTAATTTTTTTTCTTTTGATCTCCAGTGTGAAACTTAAATATCCAAAAAATAAAAAGGACCATTGTTACTGATAAAATTAGATTTATTTAAAGTAAAATCACTTGGGTAAATTTCCGCAGTTTAATGCTTGATTATTTAGAGCAAAAATATAATCAAGGTTACGGTAAGTTTTCTAAGATTTATCAATAAAGTCGAATTTTGACTGATCTTTTCTGAGTTTTGCCATAAACTATGATTTATAACACTACAGGAACAAGTCTGCTATTAAAGTGGCGCAATGTGTGCCCATAAGAATACATACAACCTGTCGATAAAGTTTTATGTCGAAATATAAATAAATATAGTCTAGGAGAAATTTACAGCTTTAATCATCTCATCACAGTTCTAGTAAGTATATATATATATATATATATATATATATAAACAAGTCTAAATTGAAAACAACGTTCAAACCTATGATTGCGTTGGATAAAAACCGCAATTTTTATACGTGTGCATGCAAAACAAATTTCTTGGTAGAGTGGTCTAAATACAGCACAAACAACATTTTCTAAAAGACCAAAAAGAGTGAAAAAGTATATTTTAACAAAACGCATTTGACTAGCAGGTCGAACAACGGATGTTCTTAAACCCTGCTGACTGCCATGGCGATTGCCAAAAAAACGGATCACCAGATGTAAAAATGGATCTTAATTTATTAATTAAATACCAAACAGAAAACAATAAACTTGCGGAAAAGATGGTATACCGCAAACATGAGGTGCAAAAATTTGTACACCATATCCGGATTTCGACAATTAATGTCTCTTCAGTGATGTTAGGAATCGAAACGGTATTTGGAAGGCCATATAATTTACCTCAATTTGGGATTGACTCTTAAATTTTGAAGAGTCAAAATAGGATGAACGGATCATATAAACCCGAAGGCAAATATAATACAAGCCCAAACGAAAAAATATAAACAAGTCAAAATTGAAAACAACGTTCAAACCTACGATTGCGTTGGATAAAAACCGCAATTTTTATACGTGTACATGCAAAACAAATTTCTGGGTAGAGTGGTCTAAATACAGCACAAACAACATTTTCTAGAAGACCAAAAAGAGTGAAAAAGTATATTTTAACAAAACGCATTTGACTAGCAGGTCGAACAACGGATGTTCTTAAACCCTGCTGACTGCCATGGCGATTGCCAAAAAAACGGATCACCAGATGTAAAAATGGATCTTAATTTATTAATTAAATACCAAACAGAAAACAATAAACTTGCGGAAAAGATGGTATACCGCAAACATGTGGTGCAAACATTTGTACACCATATCCGGATTTCGACAATTAATGTCTCTTCAGTGATGTTAGGAATCGAAACGGTATTTGGAAGGCCATATAATTTACCTCAATTTGGGATTGACTCTTAAATTTTGAAGAGTCAAAATAGGATGAACGGATCATATAAACCCGAAGGCAAATATAATACAAGCCCAAACGAAAAAATATAAACAAGTCTAAATTGAAAACAACGTTCAAACCTATGATTGCGTTGGATAAAAAGCGCAATTTTTATACGTGTGCATGCAAACAAATTTCTATGTAGAGGAGTCTAAATACAGCACAAACAACATTTTCCAAAAGACCAAATGAGTGGAAAAGTATATTTTAACAAAACGCATTTGACTAGCAGGTCGAACAACTGATGTTCTTAAACCCTGCTGACTGCCATTGGCGATTGCCAAATAAACGGATCACAAGATGTAACAAAATAGATCTTATTATTAACTAATTACCAAACAGAAAACAATAAACTTGCGGAAAAGATGTTATTCCGCAAACATGAGGTGCAAAAATTTGTACACCATATCCGGATTTCGACAATTAATGTCTCTTCAGTGATGTAAGGAACCGAAATGGTATTTGGAAGGCCATATAATTTACCTCAATTTGGGATTGACTCTTAAATTTTGAAGAGTCAAAATAGGATGAACGGATCATATAAACCCGAAGGCAAATATAATACAAGCCCAAACGAAAAAATATAAACAAGTCTAAATTGAAAACAACGTTCAAACCTATGATTGCGTTGGATAAAAAGCGCAATTTTTATACGTGTGCATGCAAACAAATTTCTATGTAGAGGAGTCTAAATACAGCACAAACAACATTTTCCAAAAGACCAAATGAGTGGAAAAGTATATTTTAACAAAACGCATTTGACTAGCAGGTCGAACAACTGATGTTCTTAAACCCTGCTGACTGCCATTGGCGATTGCCAAATAAACGGATCACAAGATGTAACAAAATAGATCTTATTATTAACTAATTACCAAACAGAAAACAATAAACTTGCGGAAAAGATGTTATTCCGCAAACATGAGGTGCAAAAATTTGTACACCATATCCGGATTTCGACAATTAATGTCTCTTCAGTGATGTAAGGAACCGAAACGGTATTTGGAAGGCCATATAATTTACCTCAATTTAGGATAGACTCTTAAATTTTGAAAGAATCAAAATAGGATGAACGGATCATATAAACCCGAAGGCAAATATAATACAAGCCCAAACGAAAAAATATAAACAAGTCTAAATTGAAAACAACGTTCAAACCTATGATTGCGTTGGATAAAAACCGCAATTTTTATACGTGTGCATGCAAACAAATGTCTATGTAGAGGAGTCTAAACACAGCACAAACAACATTTTCCAAAAGACCAAATGAGTGAAAAAGTATATTTTAACAAAACGTTTCGGTTCCTAACATCACTGAAGAGACATTAATTGTCGAAATCCGGATATGGTGTACAAATTTTTGCACCTCATGTTTGCGGAATACCATCTTTTCCGCAAGTTTATTGTTTTCTGTTTGGTAATTAGTTAATAATAAGATCTATTTTGTTACATCTTGTGATCCGTTTATTTGGCAATCGCCAATGGCAGTCAGCAGGGTTTAAGAACATCAGTTGTTCGACCTGCTAGTCAAATGCGTTTTGTTAAAATATACTTTTTCACTCATTTGGTCTTTTGGAAAATGTTGTTTGTGCTGTATATATATATATAAGCACCTAATTTGCCTAAAATATGTTTCACTTATATCTATAATAAATATATTAATTACAACTTATACTTTTAGTTAAATCTTTAAAAGAAAACGTTATAGGAAATTTCACTATATAGGTTGACCATTGGTTTTAAAATGTTATTATCCAGATTTTTCACGTCAGGCTGTAAGACCCTTGTTGAGGATGTGTCCGTTTGGTTATGGGACATTTTTAATAGTCACTCAAAAACAATGGGGTACAGTAAATTTGACAGTCAGAATTTTGGTTACACGTAACAGCATAATTAATGTAACTTCTATCAGTGGTCGAAGTACTTTACGTTAACTATCAAATGAATTAGTCAACGTGTATTTTTAATAAAGCATAATTTTGTAATTTGCAGCGGCGTATACTTCAAAGCTACTAACTATATTTTTATGTATTTGGTTGTAAAGACTTTCTACAACTCTTTGAGGGGTCCTTATGGCTGGCAAGGCCAAATTTCTTCCCTTATCAAATCGCCCCTTTTCCAGTGGCAGTCTAAGATTCCCGCTTTTTCCCGGTCGACCCACTCTGTACAAGGTGGATTTTGAACCTGAATATGCATTTTAAGTATTTGCCGCTGAGTGTCAACCAAAAAGACAATCGATCAATTTGATGTTTGCGACTAAAAGTATATTAATTAAAACATCCATATTTATTTTATTTATCGGAAAAGGCTATTTAGTGATCCAGAGTATACTACAGTAACAAGAAAAACCAATTAAATTTTAATCTTTTATTGGCTAGCAATCACAAGTACCGACTAATCAAATACCATCATATTAAATAAACTTTACTGTCTATTAATATTATTTGTAAAGTTACAACTCAAAACCAATCAGCTTGATGGAATCGTGAAAGTTGCATAAATGATATCATGTTATTTCGGAAAACATTTCAACTGACTTAAAAATGAGACATCATAATATTATTTCATTTCTCACAATATTTTCCTTTTGGTGGATAACAGATGGAAACTTAATTTTAGTTGATATTTACACAAAAGAGAACATTTTCAGTGATATTATGTGTAATGACGGAAAATTAATAACACTAAAAAATACTAGATCAGCATTGATATGTGCTAAAGTTTGTGCTCTAGCTTCAACCTGTGTTTCTTTTTTCTTCAATCGAAGTGGAACTTGTCAACTGCATAATGTAAGCGTATCCGACACTGTAGGTTGTATTAAGCATTCGGATACATCTTATTATGTACTAAAAGGTTAGTTTCTGTGAAAATATTCAAACTTTCTTATTTTTCGAATAGATGAATCTATTTGTCCAAAATTAATTTTAGAATAAATATCGTTTACTTGATTGTTTTTAGAAATGTTTTACAATAAGAATATATCAATTCGGACTAAGACTAAGACAAAAATTTATAAACAATTTTTAGTGAATTTAGCAACAAACGCAATATGATAACAAGCAGGGTGGTTGTTTGTAATTATTTAGATTCCTCAAACGTTAGCTAAAGGTTAACAGATTTATATTAAACAAGTTGCTTATGTTTAGGGTGATGCATAAGAAGTTAACAAACTTACAAGGTTTGGCGAAAATTGGCAATCACGACTATCTACTGTAATATCAGTATGGCGAGCGAAATAAGCCCATTTCTACATATAACATAGCTGATGGTCTGTATTACATTCAAAGAAATGCCCAAAGAGGGATTGCTGCCTATTTAACGTCGAGCGTCAAATTAAATGCATATTCAGAACGACAATATGTTAATGCGACATAAATGACAACCTACTTTGTGCTAAACTGATAAGCTGAGTCGTATTTATAACGTGCTAGTTTACAATATAATAGTCTACACAGAGAGACATGTCGCCTTACCCAAACACAATATTCTCACTCCGTGCTGACCAGTCAAGTTGCTCTTACTCCTTAATACCACATGCTTAGCGGAATAAAACCAATTTTAATATTTAAGTTTGACCCGGTAGTGTAACGAACATCAAACTGCACTCGAGGCAAGCACGATACCACAGAGACGGTAAGAGTAGAAATGTATAATCATTTTTCTTTCCTGTATAAAATAGGGAGATGTTGTATGATTACCAATGAGACATCTATCCAACTTAGTCCAAATAAAGCGGATATAAGCAACTATAGGTCACCGAACCCCATCATCAATGAGTAAAACCCATACCGTAAAGTCAGCTGTAAAAAACAACAACATGACAAAACGTAAAACAAATCAAGTAAAAAAGCCAATGGCCTGATTTATGACAAAACAATAAACTGAAAATAAATATGATAGAGAGCAAATATGTTATTGTTCTATTATATTTTTGAAAATACTATGAACGACAAAATTATTTACTCGCGTAGTGGTATTAACCATATGTGGATTCTTAAAAATTCTAAAGAACTTCTGGATAATTTTAAATCTCGGTCTTTTTCCGAAATTAGTTCTAACAATAATTTTGATTTTTCAGCCCTGTATACCACCATTCCCCATGTGAAATTATAATTTTGAAAATACTTTGAACGACAAAATTATTTTATATTTCTTCCTGTGTGACGTCTACATTTTCTGGCGTCAAACACGCGACGCTACGCTAAGAGTAGATGTGAATGCAGTCACATGAAATATTTCAATCCTTTATGGGTTGATTTATATAATACATATATAAGTAAGCAATGAATGTGGTTGTTAAATTTGATAGATGTTTTTTGTGCTTCTTTGTTTAATGTTTGTTTGTTTTGAGATTGTGACACAGTGATGACTGCTGTACCCATATTTTGACAATGTTACCTATTATGTCTGTTTTGTTCACGCATCGTTGTAAATATAATGGAATTTATGCGACTGTCATACAAGTGAGAGGTTTAGCGCTATAAAACCAGGTTCAATCCACCATTTTCTACATTTGAAAATGCCTGTACCAAGTCAGGAATATGACAGTTTGTTGTCCATTCGTTTGATGTGTTTTATCATTTGATTTTGCCATTTGATTAGGGACTTTCCGTTTTGAATTTTCCTCGGAGTTCATAATTTTTGTGATTTTACTTTTGGGACAGGCACATATATAATGTGGCGTGGTTGAACATATTTGTAAGCACTGAACCCTCCCCTAACCTGGAACAGTAGTGTAACCGCACAATACAAGAATAAAGAAAAAACCCTGTAAAAATCAGATCATATTACATATTGACTTTATTATATTATATTTTGTAATATATAAAGCTTTCGAGAAATAATTTCGGTTAAAATTACTGCATTTTCTAATTTTCACAATTAGATTTTAAACCTGAAACGACAACGACTTCAAATATAGCGCCAACTTCTGTAGAATTGCTATCATCGTCCGAAACAACGATCCTGCCGTTCCAGACAACAAGTAGACCATTATCATGTGACCCAGACTGGTTATTGATTGATGCTAGCTGTTATCGGATTACGCCTCCCGATACTATCACTAAACAGGAATGGCAAAATGCGTCGGTAAGGTGCAGATTAAATTGATTGTTTTTAAGCTAAAGATGGGGATCTTATTTTAAATTAATAGTTACAATATATTCAACAATTTATGGCAAGAAGGGCTTGAGCAAGAATCCACCACCTCCCTCCAAAAAATCACACATGGCGACAAATTCTATGGTGCACTTGAAAGTTCAAGAGTATCTACAAAATAAATGGTTACTGATTGAGAATCTAAACTATTGTAGTTATTGAGTTTAAAAGGTGGAGCACGATCCCAGGGAACAAAGCCTTTGGCGCACTAATAAGTTCTTATCATACCAATTCATAATTTATAAGGTTAAGAGTTGTGATCTGAACAAGTTTTCAGTTTTTTATAGATATTCAACAATTTGTTATCATCGCTTGGACCATGATACCCTAGGAAACAGATCATAGGTGCTCTGAAATTTATTGACTTGGAAAATATATAAGGTTTTTGGAAGAAAAATGAAGATTAGAAACTTTTGTTTGACATTGAGGTCAAAAGTCTTATAGTAGTATACCTTCAAGCCAAATATCAATGGTCATTGTCAATATATAAAACGTTTAGACCTCGAAAAGACTATGGAAAAAAGAACCAGACGAATACTGCTAAAGTAATATATGATACATATAAAACGTAGGTTCTGTCAAAATCGGTCGGCCGGGATGTAGATCAGGATAGATACTAACACCGAAAAGGGATAAGTTCGATAGATGCATGAATATAGTTTTGCAACAAGCCATCTACGTAACCTTCATTGAAGACAGGAACATAATAAATACAACAATCTAGTTCTGAAAATGGGTAAAAATTGGGTTGAAATAAGTTACATAAAGGCCCCACATAGTTGTTTCAATGGTTCTTCAACGTTCAGAGTGCGTGACAATTTTTATACACGAGGCATCGGATTTTAAAGAAAGGCTCATAAGTCGAAGTCGAACTAAAACCACCATCGCATATATAAAAAAACCAAAAGACAAACAATAGTCTACAAAACACAACAAAGAAAACTAAAGACTGAGCAACACGAATCCCAACTAAAAACTGGGGGTGATACCAGGTGCTCCGGAAGGGGCAAGCAGGTCTTGCTCTAGGTGTAGCAGCCGTTTTAGTTCCGACCGGACGTAGCTGCGTATTTATATTTATACATTTAACAGAACCAATCGGGCGCCCCTCTTCAGCATGGGTGTACAACCGGAAGAATTCCAGAGATGTTCATATTGCTATACCTCATATTTCCTCAAATCCCCACAACCTACATGTACTCTTCCCAAACCTTTTCAGATCAGAACTAATTCAATATGTATTTATCAGTTTGGAAAGGCACAATCGGGAAAACATTTTCAAAATATAAAGTATATTTAAGTTGCCTAACAATGTAATTTTAACACACTAGTTAGTATGTAAATATTAAAATGTTAAAAAAATGCGATAAAAAATAAACGCAATATTTCGCTAGACAAACTAGCTTTTTCTATCCAGGTTAAATAAGAAACTTTAGCAGCTCATTGAACATTGAGTTTTGCTGCTTATCAAATAAAAATAAATTCAAAATTTGGATGAAGTTCAAGATTTTTTATTTAATTACGAAATCTGTTGTTGAAGTAAGGCAAGTTTGCAACGTCCATTGGCTAATATTACAGAGATATTAAGGACGATGCTACATAATTAATTTTTCCTGTATCTTTTTTGCCTTTCTCATTTAGACCATAAGGTTCTAAAGTATTGAGGATCCAAAAGTTTTCTCTTCTCCTTGTCGCCGTGGTGTCCCAGTCAGTGTTCACTTCTATAATTTGAAAAGCGACATTATCAAAAGGATGTTTCTTTAAGCGAAGATGTCTTGTGAAGGGACAGTTTTTGTTGGTTTTGTACCATGACCGATGAATATATATATTAAAATTTGAAAACACCGTTTTTAGCCGATTCACACAAAAAATTATCCGTGTTTACTATGAGGTTTGAGCGATCTCATTTACTTAATATTGTTTATCGTGGTTAGGGGAAGTTATACGTTTGTGTTATTTTCCCCTCTTTTACCTAAATTGCTTTAAACAGGTATGAACGATTGCTTAATTGTAGTTATATTTTATAAACACACGTATTACTAGATCGACTTATTTTGAAGGAAAAATGACTTTATTTACAAATATTAAATTTTATTACATTTGAATGGTAATCAATTCGATTTGAGAGTTTTTAACAAGTTTTACCACTTAACACATACCCATTCACCTAGTATTGGCGATAATAGTCAGTAACTGTAGTGTTTTGTAAAACATACAAGTTCAATCAATATTAACATAAAAAATATATTTCGTTTCACTTCTGTTATTAGCAAATAAATCATGTACTTGAAATGCATTGATAATTTATTTAAGATGTGAAATATATGGAACTGTTTTATGTCGCGTTCATTGGTATTTGTAGTGAATTTAATGAATAACCAATTAGTCGAGAACAAAAAGACTTGTTTGTGACTATTCTTCAGATTGAGGTATTAAAATTCAATTCTTTATAAAAATGGTTGTATGATTGTCGATGCGACAACTCTACACCAGAGACCAAATGACATAGAAGTTAACAAATATAGATCACAATACGACCTTCAACAATGCGCAGATTCCATGTCGCACAGCAAGCTATAAAAGGCCCCGAAACGAAAAATGTTTACTTCGGCAAAAATTAAATTCATTGTGAGACCTCAAGTTTTTTTGTTTTTTTTTCAAGTTCACAGTAAACTTTGCCTTTGAAATTCCTACACAAAACATACTTATACTTTGAGCAAGGAAAATGCGTTAATTGATTTGAGCGTTACTAATGAGTCTTTTGTAGACGAAACGCGCGTCTGGCGTACAAAGTTTTAATCCTGGTATCTATGATGAGTTTATTGAATTAACAAAAAAACTTTAGCTCCTTAGATTCGATTATTGGTAGTCTTGAGCATAATTATAAAAACAGATATTTTAAATAATGTGTTCTTGTTTATACTTCTAAAGTGGCTAATCTTTAAATATGGAGTTATTTTCTACATGCAAAAAATTAATAAACCTAAGCCCGTGCCCCGTAAGAATGATCCATGTGACCAAATGGAAATAAATAGGAAATATATATCATGTTTTAAATTAGAGTTCCAACAAAGCATGATGCCAAATTATGAACACCTTCCACTTCATTAAACACAGTTCATGTCAACAATATAACTATTGGATATATTACATTCATTTTAAAAATATCCATGCAACACTTCTCTGAAGTGTTTCCAAAACAGGAGTACACAGAATTATGAACTAGAGAACTGATGTGTTGTTTCATCAATTAATTTAGGGTTCTTGCATATAATTTCACTTTCCAGTGTTTCGTATCATTAAAAACAAGTCTGTCATCCTGTCAATATGTTATTATTGTCGCTCATAATGATTTAGTTTTTTTTCTCCAAAAAGTAAAATGAAATGGTAGAGAGTAAATTTCATGTATACATTTTTAAAATCATTTTATCATACTTGAAAATTTACTCAATGGGTAAAATATTTCTTTGTGTAAAATGTGTGTATAATTCCAACCCTTCAATCGGTTGTTATTAAAATGTAAAATCGTGGAATAGGAAAAAATGAACTCTTAGCAACATCGAGTACACTTTAAAACAAAACTTCTATTTATACAGGACATCGATAATACCGTGTAGTATTTCTGGTAATTGCGACACGCAAAACGATTATTTTTCATATATAGGAAAGTAAACATTACTATTGAAAGCAGTGTCTATACAGGATGAAAATTTTTAAAAAAATAAAAATAAATTGTGCATTTAATGCAAGATTTAATGATTTTTGATGTAATACTAGTTCAGGTCGTGCCATCTTCTCTATTAGTAGTATTCAATGTAAATATCCGAAGAATTTGAATATTAGTAAGCTCTAAGGTCCTTCACTTTGAAGGAGTCGTGCTTGCTCCGTGCTAGTCGATTTTCATTTCTTCTGAATTGCCAGACGTGGATATGACTTTGTAGTAACACATCTCATAAGTCAAGCCGTAAGCAGGTATTGTTGTTATTGCACTTTTGCGTGTGGACATGACTTTGTATTAGCACATCTCATAAGTCAAGCCGTAAGCAGGTATTATTGTTACATCTCATAAGTCAAGCCGTAAGCAGGAATTGTTGTTATTGCACTTTAGTCAAGCCGTAAGCAGGTATTGTTGTTGCACTTTAGTTAAGCCGTAAGCAGGTATTGTTGTTATTGCACTTTAATCAAGCCGTAAGCAGGTATTGTTGTTATTGCACTTTAGTCAAGGCGCAAGCAGGTATTGTTGTTATTGTACTTTAGTCAACCGTAAGCAGATATTGTTGCTATTGTACTTTAGTCAAGCCGTAATCAGGTATTGTTGTTATTGTACTTTAGTCAAGCCGTAAGCAGGTATTGTTTTTATTGCACTTTAGCCAAGCCGTTAGCAGGTATTGTTGTTATTGCACTTTAGTTAAGCCGTAATCAGGTATTGTTGTTATTGCACTTTAGTCAAGGCGTAAGCAGGTATTGTTGTTATTGTACTTTAGTCAAGCCGTAAGCAAGTATTGATGTTATTGTACTTTAGTCAAGCCGTAAGCAGGTATTGTTGTTATTTCACTTGTGCAGAACCTTGTAATTACCCAAAATAAAATACTATATAAATGTTACAAATCAGATCGAACGAGAATGTGTATTAATACATGTGTATACGGATAATACAAGTATATCCATATTTTTTGCTTACCAATTTACTTAGCAGTTAGTATAAAGTGCTTAAATTGACTATAAATCTCTTTAATTTTGATGAATGTCATCGGGTTCAAAGCAAAATTTAATGAAACAGGGGTTTGTCAAAGAACGTCTTGTCCTTTTTCTAAAAAAAAATGTATCGGAAAGTAACAAGACCTAATAGATAAACACTCAGTGTCTACTTCACAAGATGGTCTTGGGTTATAGATTCTATGTGCTAAATTTGTGTATCTTTTTATTTACTGTTCTGTTTTCCCTTAAGTTTATTTGCCTTTGTACTTTTATGTTTTGTCTTTATTTAGTCATATGACTTTTGATGTGACTCGGTATTTTATTTATGCATCCCGCTATTGGATTTTGACTTTGGGCGTTTCTGTTGCAGGTGGGTCTTGAGGTGTAATTCAGACGCAAGTGTTTTTTTACAGTGTTGTCATTTTGTTTACCCTTTTATTAATGTTTTACTGAATTTGTTCTTTATTGAGATGAGTATACAAGATATGTACTATCAACTACAACTTTTTTTATCGGCGTCTTTGTCAATTTCCTATCAACTACTAATACTTTTTTGTTTGCGTGTTTGTCAAATTTACTATCAACTACATCAACCTTTTTTGTTTGCGTTTTTGTTAGATTTATTTGTATGTTTGTTTAAAATTTTTAGTCAGTTGTATTGCATGTCTGTGATGTATGATTAATTAGTTTTTTAATCCCAATTATTGTCACATTAACCTATTATATCTGTCTGGTTGCTCACCAAAATTTGTTAATATAACGGAACAGTAAACAACTATCATACAAGTGGGAGGTTTGGCTAGCTATAAACCAGATTTAACCCACCATTTCTTCGGGAAATGCCGTACTAAGTCAGGAATATGACAGTTGTTTTTCGCTCGTTCCGTTGATTGATAGCGTTTGATTTTTTCAGTTATTATGGACTTCCCCTTTTTGAATTTACCCTAGAGTTCGGTATTTTTGTTATACTTTTTTGTAGTTAACAAACCCTTCTCAATTGAGAAAACTCAGTTATGGTCAAATAAATTATCCGAATTGATAAGAAATATTTGCATATCGACAAAGAACTAGTTGTCAATCATTTCAAAAGAAAAATAGAAGATTTTTCTCAAATCCAAAATAAATTATCTAAAACAAAAGATAGCAAGTCTGAAACATTCAACTTTTAGCAAAGCTGAACTCTGCTTATGATAATTATGATGAAATTTTATTGAATATATTTATTAAAAACAGTTGCACCTTTGTATGGAAAGCAGGTTAAATCGGTGAAAAACGTTTCTGATTGATACTTTAGTCTGGTAGAACATGATTTATTTATTAGTTGTAATTGGCTTTGCACTACTTTTCAGTGACTGCGAGTATTATTGTTTCGGTGTTTTGTGCATGTTGTGTCTGTTGGTTTTGTACCGTGTATTGATCTTTGAGTTAGTCATTTTGACTGATTTTTACCGTTTGTTCTTATGTGGTGCTGTTACACCACTGTCCTAGGCTAGGGGAGGGTTGAGCGTTCACAAAAATGTTTATGGTATCGGTTTTTCTCATTGTTGAAGGCCGAACGGTTGCCTATAATTGCTTACATCAACTTCATTTGAACTTTGGTGGATAGTTTTGGCAACCATACTACATCTCCTTCTTTTTCATATTAACCACGCCACATTTTTTATGTGCCTGTTCCAAGTCAGAGCCTGTAGTACAGTGGTTGTTGTTGGTTCATTTATGCCATATTTGTTTTTCGTAAATTGTTGTGTTATCAATAAGGTCATTGGTTTTGTCGTTTGAATTGTTCCACATTTTTCATGTCAGGGCTTCTTATAGCCGACTATACGGTATGGGGTTTTCTCATTGTTGAAGGCCGTACGGTGGCATACCACATCTCTTTTTTATATTAAAATCGTTGAAGGGGTGAAAAGAATTTTACATACATGATGAGACCGAATTAATGCAGTTGCATATTCATTTTAATTTTTTTTATTATTGTTACAGTTCATTTTCTTACTTCATTTTGATCTTGGTTGGTTCTATATGCATCGTTTCAGGGTCGGTGTTTCTTTTGCAGGGGGTTCACGTCTATATATTGGTGAGTTTTGTAAGCTTTTATGGGCCATTCAGATATCCTCGGAAACAAGATTCTCGGAAAATCTCGAAAATGTTCGATCTTTTATACAGGTAGTTTACTATGTCTTTGAAACGGTCCCTCTATGAACATGCTACCACGTGACATTGTATATTTCAAAAACCAAAGTTCATTTGTAGATCGAAATGGACTTAATTGCAGTATAAAAAATCATTAATATATTCCAACCGTATTTGCCGTTTGACAAAGCATTGGCGTTTATTAAATATCAATTATATCTAATGATAACGCAACTATATATGTTTTAGACGGTCTCTATACGCAATGTACCATGTGCTAGTGTGCATTGTATGTCACATTGAACTGATTGTTTCTGAACGTTTGCGACGTGATATTGTGTATTTCCATCATAGCCTGGGGTCTATTTATCTTAGTTCGAAAAGCATAAAGATAATTAAACAAAACGATATTTCTGTCAAAAATAATTAATTTTTTAAATAGATACCAATAAAAGTTGACGTAAAACCAACGAAATTATTATGTTTTAACTAAAACCTGGAACATAAAGTATACCCTGAATATACCTCTGAAGTATACCATTCCCAACTGTAATATATCATTAATAGAATATAATTAGATTATAATAATGGTATCTTATGTCCCACGGGTTTTAACATTGAATTCATTTCTCAGGGCTGCACATAAATAAATTAAAATATAAACTGCACCGAATGAAAAGAACAATACTTGCATGGTTTCAATTTACTAGAATTTTAAATCTATACATCTTTCAAAAACGAAAATAATGTTTTACAATAATCATGTTATTACTACGTTCCTTATTTTATACCGTTTTAAAATCGATTGATAAGTCTTTGCTTATATTTTGTATTACAATATATATATTCATAAAATGGAAAGTAAGACTGATTTGTTAAAATAAAAATGTGCATCAATAAATACTTCCTATCGATAATTTATAATTGATGTTGAATTTTCGGAAAAGATTTATTAACAGGAATGTATGTTAATTAAATTCAGTTTTTTTTGTGTGTGTTTTTAAGTTTATCCTAAAACATCTTAATCTTTGCAATATGGTGCGATTATGAAAATTAAACAAGTTGTTTCTGCTGCTTCATTTACTTAAATTGACAAATTTATATGCCATGAAACTTGTGTCAATAGTTTTTGTCTCTTAAAAAGAGAAAAACTGTATACATCATCAGGATTAATATTCATTTGGTTTTGAAGGCTTATCTTTTTATGACTAACTACTCATTGTAGAGGTAGTATAGAGAAATTGAAAGTATATTTCCATTTGAAGCTTGACTCAGTGTGAAGCAACTTATTATGGTTCCTTTGTTCTTGAGCGCGTAAATAACACACCAGACCTCTCATATACTTACAATTATTATGAATACCTAATTATGCTCTCAAAAGAATTAATTTATACGAAAGAATGGGATTGGTAAAAGTCATTAGGACAGTAACATAAAAAAAATAAAGAAACACTAGAGTTCAATATATCGTATGAAAAAAAAACATGCTTCAAAGTCACGAGTCAAGCTCATACTTGTGCTGAATTTAGACAATTAATCGAAATATCCACATCTAATTGTCCAACATGTGACTTGTACTAACACTTTTACTATCCTGATATCCAAGATTTCACAAAGAACTTACATTTACAAATAGATTATGTATTTTTGTCACATACAATGTACAGCTTCAATAATTAGTATAAAAATTGAAGGCATCCAAGAAAAAAAATATGAAGAGTATAAAAGATAGAATACCTGCATTCAGATTATGAAGCAAATTAAGTGCGGAAATTTATATTGCGATCTCTCTGCAATATCTGCAATATCTCTTAGACATACGGTCTGCAGAAAATAGAAATTACAATAAGATCAGGACTTTATGTATTAAACAAGAAGAAAATGTACACTCCCAGGTAATAAATAAATAAAATAGTGCAGACTTAATTGAAATGATAGATGTATACACTTTTCTATTTACAATTACATATTTTAATAAAGGTATTTCTACTCATCATTACCTCATTCACAGTCAAATATTTCAAATCGAAAGCAAAGAAATTCAGCAACATTTTTTTGGCCAGTTAGCGATCTTGCGTTCATGTATTGCTTTTCTTTTTGAAAGAAAGCAACTTGTTTATATCTGAGGTGTAATTATGTTTAATTATGTAGACATTTATATTTATTCGTTTATTTCGTATAAATTTACTTTTTTTCTACCACAGTTGTCAGTTCTAAGTAATTCACAGCATTTTGCTTTACACATTTTAATGATTTTATGGATCAGAAGGAAAATTGTATATTAATTCAATGAATAAAAGAATTCCGTGCATTCGAACCTAAAGTAAATGTACAGCTCTTTTATTTGTCTGCTTTTAAGGTGAGAGTGGGGCCTTCAACCTAGCAAAAACATGCTTCAAACGTTATACAAAGATGTACGCAGGTATTGATAAATAGAAAGGGATTAAATGCAATTATCAATTCACAGTTGTGCATTTATTTATATACACGTCGGAGTTTAACAGTTAAAAATTCACCCAGATTAGCTGTTGAAACTCCATTTATTATCGATATTGTTATTATCATGTGAGATGAAGTAATCTATAAGTGTTAATCACTTACAAATATGTTCTTTTTTAACTTATGTAATGAAGAGATATAATTGTATTGCAGGAAATTTGTAAAAATAACGGTGGTTATTTAGCAACCTTAGAAACAGCGGATGAAAATCAGCTGGTAAAAGATTATGTAGGGTCTTTAGGTATTTTAGATTTATATTATTACATTTCATTTAAGCACTTAAAAGCTAATCAATATGAGCTTGAGGATGACTTAATATTCATAGGATTTTTCGTATCGTTTACCTACTGGTTCCTAGATATGAACCCCATATTCATTTCATAAAGACACAAATTAAAACAGTTTGTTAGTATGAATACTGAGAGAAGGAAAGGGAGAGAACAAATGGAACAAAATATAGTACTGTGGATTCATTATTATTCGTTGGATACCAATTTCCGTGGATTTCGTGGGTACATGTAAACCACGAAATTCAATGTTCAACGAATTACATATTTTCAATAAGGGTTTATGAAGACTTTTGCAAAACCACAAAATCAAATATCCACGAAAAGGCAAGTTTTCCGCAATCCACGAAAATTGGTACCCACGAAAATAAGTGAATCCACAGTATTAGCTTATTTTGTTAGGAAATGAAGACATAAAAATCTTGAAAACATTAGAACAACTCCATATTGTTTTACCTTAACTGAACTTCCGCTGGTAGGATAAATATTTTATGAATCTTCATAAATAATTAAAGTATTTCAGATTTAGGCGTTAAAGTTCTAAATGGAAATCAAATCGCAAGTAATTAACAATATATGTATACGTACATTGTTAAAAGTTACAAGATTTTACTCTCTACAAAACAGGAGAACAGATCTACGAACCTCGGTTTTCTTTGTTTCTAACTCTCGTAAAAATAAATTATACATTTTTGACAATGAATGCTTAATTTATGTAATCGTTTGTTTAGTCAAGGTCAATATGATTTATCTAACTGAATGAAAATTTGTACTTCCAGGATCAAAAGATTTTTTTATTGGAGGTTCTGACCTACAAACTGAGGGCACTTTTCTGTGGGAACACAGCGGTGTCCTTATAAATTTGCACGGCAGTGGATTGTTCTATGATTGGATGTCAACAAATCAGCCAGATAATGGCAATGGTAACCAGCATTGCATGGTACTAGCTGGACGATACGGTCATAAGTGGAATGACGTTCAGTGTACAGTTGCAAGAGCTTTCATTTGTGAGAAAGATCCAGCATAACATATTGTCCCTGAATAACTTGTCTTGCTCAAAGTAGTACCACAGCGTTTTATTGTGGTTTTTATATAGTCTTTTATTTTCTATTTTGCAGTTAGAAGTTTAAGTTTTTTTTATCAATATAAACAGTCTTTAACTTATCTCTTAACATTTAAGATAACCATGCACGGAGTAGTTACCTAGCAAAAGACAGGTACATGCATATGTAGTTTATAGGTTATGCTAGTTCATACTCACGAAGAGAAAAAAATATAATATATATCATATAGGCAGCTTTGAAATGCTAACATATTTTCAAACGAAGCAGTGTATTCATGATGAAATAGAAATATAATAATGTCGAAACATTTGGAGATGTGTTTATCAAGCTTTAGAAATTGTTTCTTTTTTTATGGTTTTCATGATTTTTGATTTGGGATAGGGGATCTATCTTTTAGAAAACTATGAAAAATATTTACAGTCCAAGGCTCTTCTTTTTATCGTTTTTACAGTTTATATATAAGGGGATTGTTCAGAGCTAAAAAAAAATACTAGTATTCATAAAATGAATTAAACCTGGAACAAATACTAAACATACATTTTGTTAATGATTGCAAAATATAACTTCCTTTATAACACCCAGTTCATTTAATAAACATACTAAAAAGTAATTATTCAATATTCATATAATAGTGAATTATTGTCGTTCATACACGCTTTTGTAATTTCAATTTCATTACTTTGTATTGTTTGCAATTGTGTGTTATGCTGCATTATATTGATCTGTATTAGTTGGGTTTGTTTTTACAAATGTATAATAAATATAAAGATATATTAGTCGTATCACTATCGCCTCTATCATTTTATCATAGCAACATTTTGAGAGACCAGTACATGTTTACTAACGTATATTGCAAACAAACATTTTAGGCTTCAGAATTCAGTACCGGCAAAGAGTATTCAGTCATTATAATTCTTAGTTTAATTTGATTTTCGTAAATATGTTTTATGATGTGATAAATTGATTTCCAGTGTTTGTGAGATACTAGCGAAAATTAAAGAACCTTAAGTGAGTAAGCTCATATACCCAGCGCTCAATATAAATCATGATTTTAAACAGTAATATTGTCTTATGTTGATATATTTTATATGAACTTGAACTTCCTCTTCTTAATCCTCTATGAACACATTTCCAAGTAAGATTGCAATCCAATTTAATGCATTCTAAAACAGCTTTTCTGCACAAATTTGTGTAATTTCTTTTAGTAACTTTGACCTTGACCTTAGACATAGTAGCATCAAGATCCTCCTCTCATTATATGTGACCATATCCAAGCTAATTTGGAATCCCATATGTAGTATTTGATTCAGCATCCGGTAACCACTTTTCTACACAAATTCAGTCTGTTTTCAGAAATTACAACTTTGACCTTTGACCCCAACATCAATAGGGATCTTCCTCTCATTAGATGTATATCAAAGTAAGGTTGCAATCTGACATAAAGTGTTTGAGTTAGCATTCGGAAACGAAAATGACTGACGGACTTGCAAGTCTAAAACTTTATAACCCGCTACTTTGTAGCGAGGAGTATAATATATTATTGAAAGGTACATTAATATATAGCAATCCGCAGTATTGAATAACATAATGTAAACAAAGCCTCGAAAATAAAACTGCATTGCTTTTAATTTTTCAACTATAATACTTTAACGATTGAACGAAACATACATGTGAAGTTAGTTCACTTATTACCTATTTACTTGATCCTCTTCGTGCATTGATGCACATAGGACCAACTCGTTATCTATCTTATACTGTTGTGTTACCTCAAGTCCCAAGTTGAAAAATGTTAACACAACAAGTTTTACATTAAATCACTCCACACTCTCCCTAAAAATCATATGGGAACGAAGTTCTATCTTCTTTTACCTGTTTACATCGTTAAATCATAGAAATCAATCAAAGAAAATTTCGGACCAATCATACCAATATTTCGGACCTAATTTCTATTTCAAAAAACAACGGCAGACATTATCTGTTAACAAAGCTCTGTTCATTACCGGTTAATAAGTTAAATAAAATTTTAGAGGATTGCAACACAATTTCATATAGCAGTCCTAAGTATGAAATCGTTCAAATTATAATGGCATATTGTTATTCTAAACTGTTTCCCAAAATTGATCGCCCTGAAGATCATAAAAAACAGTTTATTAAAATATAGTATGTCAATAAAGGTTTTGATTTTGTAAATATTGCCGGTATTTTTAACGACCATTCTGTTAAAGAACAAATTCCGGGATATTTTGATAATACTGAGCTCCCTCTTATTTGTTATATTTACAAGAAATCTACCCGGAAATTTGTGTTTAATTATAGCCAATTGTGTAAAGATGTTAATATCAGTGAAAATACACCTACTTCATGTAATTGCAGTAATTCCGAATACATTAATGGACCCATTTCCCATGTTATAACAGGAGATCTTAACATCGTTCAAGACCGAGAGTTAAAATCATTCCTCAGTAAAGGACCTAAATATCGTCCCCCGTCAATTATTAATTGGAATGAGTGTCGTAATATCATCCACGACTCACTCCATACTTACTGTTTGAAATGGATAAAACGGGAAAAAGCTGACAAAAAATCTTTGGACTCTTTTTTTAATTCAGTAATGAACATAGTTGATTTACGTATTCAACATTTTAAAGAACATTTTACTCTTAACAATAACCACAATAAACCTATTTCTCGTATCAAACATAAACTAAAAGAACTAGCCAAGGAATTTGTTTTTGTCCCGGCCGATAAAGCTGCTAATAATATTATTATTGTTTGACGTAAATTTTACATTGAGGTTCTGAAAAAAGAAATCACCAATTCACCAACATTCCAACTGACTCCATTTTCAGAAAACGACATCTGTAACAAACATAAACTTTAAGCTACCGCTTTACAAGCAGAACCAAATACAATGAAAGTCCCAACTATGTATTGGCTTCCGAAGCTACACAAAACACCTTACAAATATAGATTCATTTCGTCTTCAAGCCATTGTTCCACTACTAAATTGTCTATTCTTCTTACCAGTACACTTGGTACAATCAAAAACCTGATAATAAATTGTTCAAATAAGGCCTTCGAAAATAGTGGAATTAATTACTTTTGGAGTGTCAAGAACTCGTTGGAAGTACTTGATAAATTACATGCATATATTGGTGATTTTGAATCTGTTCAAAGTTTTGATTTTTCTACCCTATTTACCACATTGCCTCACATTCTCATTAAAAAAAAATTCACACACCTAATTAAATGGGCATTTAAAAAGTCAGAATGTGAATATATATGTTCAAACTCTTTTAGGTCATTTTTTAGTATCAATAAACAAAAAAACTATGTCAATTGGACATGCTTTGATACTATATATGCCCTTGAATTTTTTACTAGATAACATTTTTGTTCGCTTTGGAGATTCCGTATATCGTCAGGTTATCGGAATTCCAATGGGGACTAACTGTGCACCACTTATTGCGAACCTTTTTTTGTATTGCTATGAGTTACAATTTATGACAAAAATCAGCAAAGACCCATCGAAACAACATCTGATACACAAATTTAATAATACTTTTAGATATTTGGATGATATTTTGGCTCTCAATAATGACGACTTCAGTATGTATACTAAAGAAATTTATCCTGTTGAACTTACTTTAAATAAAGCTAATACTAACAATGACCACTGCCCTTTCCTCGATCTTGATATCTATATCATTAATGGAAAGCTTAATACTAAAATATATGATAAAAGAGATGATTTTTCATTTCCTATCGTTAATTATTCATTTTTAGATGGTGACGTTCCCTTGTCACCATCTTACGGTGTTTATATATCTCAACTTGTACGATTCGCTCGTGTATGTAACAATGTTTTAGATTTTAACGAGAGAAATTTATGTATTACTGAAAAGTTATTACACCAGGGTTTTCGATATCACAAACTAGTCAAAACATTTACTAAGTTTTATCATCGGTATAAGGACATTATTCGTAAATATAGCTCAACATGCAGACTTCTTATACGTTCAGGTATTTCACATCCAATTTTTTATGGAAATATTCTTTATAAAGCACAAAAATGTCAGTATTCACCTCTGAAGCTAACAAAACCTTTAAATAGACTTATTAAGAAGGGATATAGGTACGATACTGTTGTCAGGTCATTAAAGATTGCATTTTTTGGCGTTAATATTGATTCACTTATAGGGTCTTTGCATCGGCACTAAACACATTTATTTAAAAACCAGTTGTTGGCATGACACGGGTTATGTTCTTCTTATATATGTTATGATGGTATGATACTAAACCCCTAACGGGAAGGATTGTGCCTGATATTCATATGATGAAGACATAATCTTTCAATCAGTTTAATTGAAGTCTGGAGCTGGCATGTCAGTTAACTGCTAGTAGTCTGTTGTTATTTATGTATTATTGTCATTTTGTTTATTTTCTTTGGTTACATCTTCTGACATTAGACTCGGACTTCTCTTGAACTGAATTTTAATGTGCGTATTGTTATGCGTTTACTTTTCTACATTGGCTAGAGGTTTAGGGGGAGGGTTGAGATCTCATAAACATGTTTAATCCCGCCGCATTTTTGCGCCTGTCCCTAGTCAGGAGCCTCTAGCCTTTGTTAGTCTTGTATTATTTTTAATTTTAGTTTCTTGTGTACAATTTGGAGTTTAGTATGGCGTTCATTATCACTGAACTAGTATATATATTTGTTTAGGGGCCAGCTGAAGGACGCCTCCGGGTGCGGGAATTTCTCGCTGCATTGAAGACCTGTTGGTGACCTTCTGCTGTTGTCTGTTCTATGGTCGGGTTGTTGTCTCTTTGACACATTCCCCATTTCCATTCTCAATTTTATCATATTGATTTGAACGGCAAATAGTTTCTGATTTATTTTAGTGCATGTAAATTGAAGTGATTGATTTAATCTTTAAATGAAATGCCACACCTAAGTCATTGTACGAGTATCAATTTTGATAACGTAATTGTATTTTCTTTAATGTTGTAATCAACGTTATTACATAATAGTTCCTGAAAGCTTCCGCTCAGATGAAATGATTGACATCAAACTCCACGTTAGTTGCTACGCTTGATGCACAATCAATAAGTTAACCTTGGAAAGTCAAATACGATTTTATTCTTTGGAAAGCCTTACATACATTGAAACCGTCCCGCATAATCTTATCGATGCCGGATGGAGTGACAGCAATGGTGTTGACGGAATTTCATAATTATCAACGAAAGATTTCTTAAAAAATGTACGTAATTAATTTTGCTCATTGTCTAAGGCAAAGTTTGCACGAGGAAGTTGCTACCTAAGTATTTATAAACAAATACAGTATTGAATTTGCTCCGTTTGATGCTTATAATTACATTTACATAATATCAGGAACGCTGTCATGTGGAACTTGTATAAAAACATAAGACGTTGTTAGTCATTATAACTTGTTGAAATAACTAAACTGTTAAAGAGAGGCGAAAGAAACCAAATGTATATTCAAACTTTTAAGTCGAAAACAAACTGATAATGTCATGGCATAAAAACGAAAAACGACCAAAAGACAAACAACAGTATACAAAACACAATATAGAAAACCAAAGACTGAGCAAAACTAACTCTATTAAAAACAGCGGATTATCTGAGGTGCCACGGAAGGGTAAACAGGTTCTGCTCAACATGTGGCACCCGTCGTGTTGCTTATTACAAAAATAAGTAAATGCGGTATGACTATCCACAAGAGTTCAAACGAAGTGGATATAGGCAAG